AAACTTAATTTTTACAAGGGAAGAAATGTATTATCGCTGTCCTCAAACGTTTCTCCGAATTTCAGTGGGTCGCTTGCATCTCAACTTGAATTTAATGCTTTGATCTAGACGCTTACTTTACTATTTACAACACGTTTTTGAACCTTCCATCTGAAGCATTTTATACCAATGAATGTATTTGGGAAGGGATTTGACAATTCATATCATGGGAGGATTAGCGCAGTTTAGTTCACGGTTACGAAATATTTGACGCATTGTTGGTTATAGTTAGTGGACTTGGGGGTTTTCAATGCAGCCCCACAATCGATCGCCAGTGGTATGTTTTAATCCTTGGCACGTGCTCCCAACATGAAAAAAAGGTTAACAGAAAAACATTGATGCCTACACACCTAAATCTGGAGTTGTGGCTCTGAATGCCATACATCTCAGTCCTCTGTGGGGCAGCGGGGGGGGGGGCTTTAGCATCATGAGCTATAGTATCTTGGGGTAAATTTCGGTCTGAATTGCCCCCCACGACAAATCCTGGGTGTGCAACTGAGTCTTCTTGCAAGGTGGAAATGCGGTACTGTGCAAACGGATTGTACATATTGGCACCATGAACTCCTTTCGTCCGAGGGACGTCGTGCCTCCAGGCTAAAGCCGCGCTGTCATCCGTTTACTTCATTGTCCTGTTCAGCGTAACGGGGCACTGGTTCACAATTTCGGTCGAGAAAAGGTCACGTTGAATTTAAAAATATTTTTAACACGACCGATCTGAGATAGGGACTTGGTTTGTACATTCTAATGACATGTTAAAGCGTGCTTCCACAACATGGGTCGTTTGGTTCGTGACTTTCTGGTGTGCAACTGAGTTTCTGGTGTGCAACTGAGGGAGTGAGTACACGTTGTGTGCTGTTACGTGTTCGCATGCAGGATTTGTTGCACGATTACGAAACAAAAGTAAACTTTCATATCCGAAATCGTCTAAATTCAACAGGCTTGTGTACACATTTAAAGTAGAACAGAAGCTAAACTAAATAATCCATGTAAAGATCGTAAAATGTGAAGATTGTAATGTTAAACAAGGCACAGACAACCGTGCGCCGAACTCGGTTCTCGCCTTCTCCGCCTGATTCTGTATTTCCTATAAAGGAACGGTGCAATATGTCATTATTTTCACTGACGGCAATCGTAAAGACAGTACTAGTGGGGTTCACTTGTGGTATACCAACTTCAGGATGTTCTTCAATTACCACCTTTACGCGCCATTTTGTCCTTCTGGACTCTGGTTACGGATGTTTTTGCAGGTTATATCCATCATTTCTTTTCTTGAAGTGATGGTAATGTGAACACTGACTTAAGAGAAGACATGCAGAAAATTACGGGTCACCAGTTATCTTCAAACTGCTGCCGTGAATCAGCGTCCAGGTTTTCCCAGCATTCTAAGACAAATTTAGGTTTTTTGTCTAGAGTTTCATTTTTGTGGATCGATTTTTTTTTCTGTTCCGTTGCTCTTGATTTATGCCTGTTAAGAATCAAAAGTCTTCTGCTTCATTTGCATGTAGCAGAATCTTTAGGAAAAGCTACATCTAATTGTTAATGACGGACTATCCACTCCATCTTCAATGAAAGCCCTGGTCTCTTAAACCAGTGTTATAGCAAGAGGGTGTTTTGTTGACAGACGTGTGACACAGAAGCCAAATCTAACGATCCGCTTGACTGATTCAGTGGGATATGTCAATCATCTTTAATCCGATCAATAACAGCCTCTCCAGCTTCCATTTCTCCCTGTGGATATGATACGTTGAGGGCCAGCAAAGTGGGTTGGATGAGCCGTGAAAGTGACTCTCCCCTTGACAAATTACGAAACGCAATGACTAAGCACAAACAAGAACCAAAACCCCAAATAGGAAAACAATATAATAACAAGAACTGTGAAAAGGCCTGTACCTGTTCGTCCAAGATATATACATGTATACGGTATGATTTTTTTGTTTAATTATTGACTGAGTTGAATGACTTTGGTTATAGTATTTTCACAGGAATAATCAGATGTAAAAGTTAATTGTCTATGTACAAGAGTGACAGCCATTACTAAAGCGAGGTGGCGTTTATTTTATGTTACATTTTTTGTTTCACATAACTGAGCTTAAAGTTTCCTTTTAGATAATGTGCACATTTTTTACATGACTGAATGTTTCGTTCTCAGACCGTGCCCGTTATGGTAATTATTATAATTTACACTGGAGAAAACAACGGGACATTGAAAACAACAGGAAGGCCCATTTCCTTTGTATAAAATACAGATGACAAATTGAGAGAATACAGACGCACGTGACTAAGATACACACAATCTAACAAATGGTTATTGCAGAGGAAAACCTATTGGTCTGATAGCTTGCGGCGTCCGAGCACAATTTCTTCCCGAGTTAATTAAAGAACAGAAAGATTCTGAAGGTGAGGCACATGAAAGGATGGATACATCCAGTCGGCATGAACCCAATTAGTACTATTTGTTTAAAAATCACAAGGTTCGCAGGTCTTCCGCGTTGTTAGTTTTTTAATTGTTCCAGCCAGCTTCCGATCGTAGATGAGCCGAAAATGACGGTTCGGCTTGCGAGCGAAGATCGGGATAACGGACAATGCGGACAGCTAAGTTGGTTGACATTTCGCCTAAATGATCAGGCTGGATCGATCCGTCGTAATTTCCCCAGCTCACGGGTGGAACGGAGTGCAAAGAGTTTGTGTCAACATTTGCTGATACATGATGACAGCCATCACAAAATTTGAAACTGGTTAAAAGTCTGAAATAAAGACTTGGAGCGGGGGGGGGAGTCCAGACCTAAATGTTCAGATGGGGGTGCAATATTGTTATTTGTTGGACCCCAAATACTTAGGAATTTCTTCATGTAACCTTGTGTGGCCTTTCTTAGGGTGAGGCCAGATGTTTCGGATTTTTACATGCTTCTAGATGGAAGGTAAATGAAAAAATCGTCTCTCTCATTATATTGCCAAAACATAATACTCTTCTTGGGGAGTATACAAATACAGCCTGGTTTATTTCGGGAAAATGGTGGAAAAATAATGGGAATTAGGTCACCTACACCTCGGAAACAGTAATTCCGAAATTTTCCCGAAATAAACCAGGCTCTATTTGTTTTACTACACCTCATAAATATTCAATTAAATGTTAAATTCTGCAGGTTCCGACTGAGAAACCTCTTCATAATCCACCTTCTTGTCTTAACAGTATATTCTTCCAGGAGCCTCACTGCCCTGTCAGTAACTGCCTTTGTACATTTTGCATCTTTATTCAGCACAATAAGTTCAATTTGATGTTTAGATGAAGAGGGAAATCTTACGTTACTTGTACTCACATGCGTTGTTGTTGTTTTTCAGCTGCTAAATTTCCATATAATGATAGTCGAGTGCACATGTGCGTAGAAAGGGGCTTCAATAGTCTGGTGCTGACATACGTTTTGGGTCTTTAGTGTAATAGTCGTTAGGATACAACTCCAGACTGGTTCCGCAAAGATTACATGACACAGACTACATATCTACGCAGCAGGTTCTAGAGGTGTTTTTTTTCTTTTTGTGCTGCCAGAAAATACTACCGCAAGGCAGCGAGGTGAATACTCACCAGTATGAAGTCACCTGGTCGCATATCATTTCTACTTCCAAGACGCGAGGTGGAATTGGCCAATGACGCGCTCCGTGATTTTACAAATGCACAAGTTTGCTCCAAGAACACTAACGATGTAGTTTATACTACACATAATGGAAGGGACCATACTAAGAAACGACGATCTCGTGCACACAGGAAAAATTACCAGTTTAAAATTTTTTTACACAGCAATAGAAATTCCACTTAAATTAAAAACTAATAGATTTAATGGGATTTTTTTAACAAAAATCTCAGAACAAAAGTCAGAAAACCTGAGGGAAAATGAAAATTGACGTTGCACCCTTGTACATTTTCAATGGCCCGCACACTTCTTGCCGCCAAGGCCATTTGTGCGCATGCGTGCATAATTATGAATTTATTAGTGAAGAGGTCTATCGTCTTTTTATTTTCTTTGGCGAGGTAGTTGGAGTTGGTATTGTTGCGTAGTTTGTACGCTTGACGGGAGTTGTTACTGCCTCTTGAGTTGCTGGAGGGACTGGAATTGGGGTCAACTTTAGATGACTTTTGTCGGTCGGTCCCAAGCGTTAACGTTTCGATTTGGAATATTTCGGTGAAAGTTCTCCGTGTTGCTCTTCTGAATCGGTGGCATCGAGTTTTCCCTCTTTTCTGGAAAGGGTGGATTTGTTGTGAACCTGGAGAGTTGCCAGACAGGATTTGTGGACTTCTGCACATCGGATTAAACGAAAGAAAAGTGTCCTTTCGCTTGTTAATACAGCAGGGACACTTTTACATAAACCTACGTGTTCTCTCGATGTTTCCAGCATCATTCCCATACTCAAGTAATCTGGATATGGAATGTGAACAAAATGAACACAGAGAGGCTACTACATAACGTGTTTACTGTGGAACCACAGAACCAAACGGCTGAACACTAACTTCTGAAGAATTGCAACGATGTTGCTTGAAAATGTCAAGAAACCAAGTAAGTTTTGATGGTGTAAAAATGATGAATTTTCCTACAGTTCTGGTGTCATTCACAATCAAAGCAATGAAAGGAATGTGTTTTGCTTTGTTCTGTTTGTTTGTTTGTTTGTTGGGTTGTCTGTTTGTTTGTTTTCGGTTTTGGTTTTGAGCTTTGCAGTTTGTTTGGGGATGTTTCGTTTGATTTGTTTTTGTTTGGTCTGCTTTTATGAATATTCATGTTTGATATAATTCTTTTGTTCGTTCGTTGATTTGGTCGTTTTTGTTTGGTTTGGCTTTTTCTTTGGGGCTGGGTTGCAATGCAGTTCACCAAATAATTATGCGAATGAAAAGGCAATAGCAATTGAGTAAAACAACATTTATGTTTCATTTTCTGATCACTTAGGCCAGCTCATCAGCGTGCCATACATATTTCCATACGGTCCATGTCCACGGTGTGCGACTTGGCTAAAGCTGACGGGACATCTTAAGATTGAAGCGATGCATCATGAGTCACCTACACTCCGTTTCAAAAGATAATCTTTTGCCTGTTGTTTGTTTCTTTTCTGATTTTGTTGTTGTGGGGGGGAATTGGCAGACATCAAAGTACATTTAGATCTGTGAAAAGTAAGCACCACTGTCTACTCCAGGGAGTAATCCACGGGCCAGCCTATACACTTGGCTACGTGTAACCATTTGCAGGGCTACTATGTCAAGAGAACCGTCTACGGAATTTCGGTTTATTGTCAGGTTTTCTCTTCAAGACAAAATAAAAGAAAATTCCGATCTTACTTTTTGTATCAAGCGGAAATGTTTTATTACGAGCTGCAAAGCCAAATTCTTTTATATAATATTTATGTAAACATGTAAACAAGGATCATTTCAGCACTTTGTACTCCTTATTAATATCACTGAATCTGGTTTGTCTACTATCTGCATATGATTGTCAAGTGCAATACTCGATCGTATGTAGGTGCGCTCAGAGCTCCATGCATACTAATAGTTATACCACAGAAAACGAAGGCCTGTACACTGCACATTGCATCGGAGGAAATTCTTGCATGTATAAGGTTTACTGCATGTCAGGTCAGAACACAGTGCTTTCACCGTATCAATGCTAATTTCATTGACCATGTATACTGTTCACATTAAGCCAGAATGACAGTAAATTCAAGTTTGATATTTTTCCTTTCAAAAGCCACGGTATACAGTGAAACATGGAGTGATAGGGACTCAAGGTACCAATCAAGGTTGCATAGACAGTGTTCACGGGTCCGAATCTGCAGTACCGTAATAATATACTCCTCTCACCCTCTGCAAATCTGTTTGGGTGGGGGATGCAAACATAATCCTTTGGAATGAATCCCTGTGATTAAAGACAAAAAAGATATCTGGCATGACAACAATGACTCATTTTGATGCCTCTCTGCTTGTATCAACCGACAACCGTCTGAACCTCGGACAAATAATCCAAAAATAATATTTAAAAATGTGTACCTTTTATATATAATTTAATATACATGCTCTGTACATTTCAGCAATATACAATATGAGAAGGCTATTTACAATTGGGATGCATTCTTATTTATCGAATGCCAAGAAAGAGATAATCATCACAGTAAAAGTACTTTGTCGAACATAAATGCACAAATAAATAAATGACAGCAAAACGCAGGACTACAGTTTACTTCAGGCTTAACATTCGCACGTCTCGTACAACTACCATACCCCCCGAAGACTTTGTGGTGAAGTGTAAAGACCTAGTTGGTTGGTTGTTTTGTCGTGTTTGCATATTTCACCATTCTAAAATAATAATGTTCCAGAAAACTATTTCAGAGAATGTTAAATGGTAGCCCAGCAATGATTTTTACCTTCGGTTTTCCTTTTTTTTAAAGTAATCAAAATGAATATAAGTGATACTTTTTTGGGGAACATTTCGTATGGACGGAAGTTGACTTTTTTTACACAACTCCCAACTCTCTTTGGACAAAATCCGGGGTATATCCGCGTCTGCATGCAGAACTAGCACAATAGTATTTGTCTTTAATATCATCTTTAACATAGCTGGTGCTATGGTGAAATTAAAAATGTGCTCAGCGCGCGCGTGACATAATACACCGAAAATTGCTTGTAGCTTCATATAAAGTAAACAAGAAATTGCAATTATGAATTTACCGTTATGCAAATTACGGTGGTACTTCGCCTGAAGAACATGCATCAGAGAAACAGGCCCAGAATTGCCACATTTAGCCTTATTTTGGTTTCACCTTGTCAGCATTTTGGAGTTGCACTGTGGGCAGGGCGTACATGGTGGTAGCGTCGAGCTCACGTCCGATCCCACCGAATGGCAAGAAGGCCCCCGTGGACATCTCCCCGCCTCTGACAGACGGCTTGAGCGGAGGCGAAGAGCCCGGGGCGTCATTATTGTTGTTCCGTTCGTCATCGGAGAGGCCTTCCTCGTCAAATCCAGGGGCCGAGTTCTCTTCGCTCTCGTCGGTGGTTTTCTTCAGCCGTCCACCAGTGGCATCATCACCGACCGCGGTCAGCCTACTAGCGGCATTAGCGGCGGCACGTTTTGCCACTTCTTGCTGTTCGCGTTTCTGTTTGCGCCATTTTGCCCTCCTGTTCTTGAACCATACCTGCAACAAATATAGAAAGGAAATGACACAACGTTAAATTGAAGCAATTTACAAAGCAATTTTAAGGGCGGATCCGGAACCAAATTTTCGGGAGGCCTATTTTTGAGGAGGGGTGGGTGCAAAAATTGAAATTTTTATTGCCTTAACGAGGAGTATCTCAGATATTGTAACTTTGTTCACACATGATGGTCAAATTCAAATTTATTCCCTCGATTGTTTCCTGCAAATCATTTCAATGCTAATCCCGCAGCCCGAAAGAAGACTGCAGTTAACCATGCGTCGAATGCCTATATTCTTTCAACCGTTTCCGGTGAATGTAAACTTCATCCTTTCAGACAGACGTTCAACCGTCTCCGGTGAATATCAACTTCATCCTTTCCTTTGACGTTGTATTTTTTCCACTAATAACAGAAGATTTGCTAAGAAGTTGGGCTAATTGTTCTCTCATCTTTTCCCCCAATGCTCCAGGTCATTGTCAAATGTCATAGGAAAAACATTTGTGTCCGTATATCCAAACGCCACATGAGCTTTAGTTTTTATACGGAGTTTGTTTTTTTTTAATTATGAGTCTCGAATCTTTATAATAGTTTGTTTCTTGATAATTTTGAAATACTATATTCATGGAGTAATTTATACTTTTAGGGGCTGCATATATTTAGGGGTTTCGATCTTTGTACGTTCACGACCTCATCAATAGTAAAGATGTCAACAACAAATCCGGACTTTGCAGTAGGCTGGCTGTGAAGCGCTGTGAAGACCTTCATGTGCAGCGCGCCATCTTCTTTGAACAGGCCAAAGACCTCGCAGTCTTCACAAGCACGGTTTACCAGAAAACAAGGAGATATCTGTCAGGGAATCGGCTTACGAGCGGAAAGCTGCTATTCTGTCTGAAATCGGCAAAATAAAGATTTACATGGACATAAACCGGATAAGGAACAATGGCTCCACAAGCCAAAGATGTTCGGGTGAATCTCCCTGTCGTCCGTTACCGAGCAAGCAGCCGGCGGGCACGCCGGAATTACGGGATAATAACCCCGCTATACATATCTCATATTCTTCTGCTTCAGACACAACTCGTTGCGTCGTGGGCTTTTTTTTTAAGGAAAAGATGGAAAGCCCCAATCCGATTCCGTTTTAAAACCAAAAGCTTCTTTAAGAGAAGCCAAAAATTCGTTGAAACATGAAATATTGAGGTTTTTGCCGTCTTCGAGTGCTTAATAGACAACACACAAGCACTCCAAATTGAGTGATTCTAAAAAGTTGGGGGATGCTCAAAGCTTCTGTTGTTACGTTTCATTTGGTATTTCCAGGACAAAAAAGATGTTTTTGTTCCAGATGCGTGAATCCTAACAAAGCGTGCCGATTACGCAAATTTGTCGAATGCAGCTTTGAAAGCTAAATCCTCGGGTGCAACAGTCCGGTAACAAAACCCGACAGGCTCAACAAAACGCCGGTACACAAACGACTCGGTACAGTTACAACGGCGGGTACGAACGGTGAAAATAACAACCACGAGACACAAACAGCCCCTAGCCTTGGATACCACTTGTAAATACCGGGCCCCCCTTTGAATCCGAACAGCTTTGGCCACAAGGCTATTTAAGCTTAATTTGATTTCTGAAACCGCGCTTCGCCTCAATCCCTTAATATTTTAAATCAAGTCCAGTGATCATGATCCCCGCTAGAGGGCTCGGGGCCGTTGTCAAGCCGTGCCGGGCTCGATGTTGTCGACCCAGGGAAACCCTTTCGGGCCCGCAAAAGGCGGAAAACTAGTCGAACCATCAAGGGGATCATTAATAAGTATTCACCGCCGAAGAGACACAAAGGACACCACGGACAATCAAGATGGTCTAACGAGGGGATATTGTATTAGATCGTTGGGAACTTCTCACAGGATGACTGAAACATCTACATGACCACAGAATGACCAATATGAACTGCAACCATTATGGTATCATATTGTTTTCGCAATTGAATGTTTTTTGTGTCCAATTACTGAGTTATTATTGTGCCACCAACTGAGAGATGAAGCGATCTTTGATTTAACCTCTGTAAAACGTTCGTCAAAAGTGTCTACTGTTAGGGTGGGGACGGTGGGACTGGGTCATTCTTCGAAAGTTTTAAGAGGAAATATTGCCAAATCTTTCCTTCAGTCATTGTTATTACTTTTTCTGATGTTATGGCTGATTACAAAATTATAGCTAGTTCCGAATTTGCCACGGATGCTGTAAGTTCAAACTTTCAGATTTAATATTATGTTTGATGCCAACTTATGCGGTACAGCCAGCCTGGATGGGTTGGTGGGTGGGTGGGTGGGTGGGTGGGTGGTTTTGTGGGTGGTGCTGGTTGTTCATGAATTTCTTCAAGTCTTACAACCTGGCATCTCACCTCAACTCTCTCCTCCTTGAGATCCACCTTCATGGCGAGCTCCTCCCGCAGCATGACGTCAGGGTAATGTGTCTTCTCGAAGGTGGCTTCCAACTGCTCCAGTTGCTCTTCCGTGAAGATGGTGCGGTGGCGTCGCTTCCGCTTCTGATTGCGGGCAATCAGGTCGAGATGTGGGTAGCCGGGGAAGGGAGCGTAGGCTGAGGGATGACATCAAGAATAGGGGGGAGAGAGAGAGAAGAACAGCATTAAACTTGGCTTCAACCTCCTGTTTTCTGGCTTCAGTCTTCATTTCAGTGCTAATTTGAAGAGAGGAGTTGGCATAGGCGTCGAAGGGTAGGAGACTTGTTTTGTATAGCGATCGACGCTCATGACATGTCTGTGCCGGTATGAAAGCGACGTTTCAACCATCTCACCTAAAACCTTCTGCGCTGGCGCAGAAAACCCAATGACCCCAAGTCCATCCCTGAGGATGAAAAAAAAATGTAAATCCGAAAGAGAGATTGCATTTACCATGAATGTCAACCAGGTCAATTTATGTTGACGGAGAGTGCCCGATGGGTTCAAAAGCTATGGGGCTCGCTGGGTTTGATCTACAGAGTTTACGGGGAGGATTTTTTTCCTTGAGCAGCTCTAGAAATGAAGAAAAGTGCAAAAAGGATATTTCGCACACTTACGGAAATGTTTCTCACCTCTTAAGATTCAAAAACAGGTTTTTCATTAAAACTGATTTTTCATATCCTTGCGGTGATTTATGCTCATGCTAACTCTAAATGACGGGGTGAAAGCGTTCCTCGTAAGTTTTTTTCCAATACATGTACTACTCTCTCGGCTGGGAACTGTGGGTGTTTGTCAGTCCATATGACACCAACGTCAGGACTTACGTTTGACTTAGGAGTCTCGCAAAACTACTTTTAAGAGGCCGCTTTTGACACAATTTATCAAAGGTTTGTCTTATCGAGGTAAAAACTTGTGTTGTTCTTCGATGTCCTCTAAACAAAATTCCCCCATTTCTGTGCTGCACCCCAAATGGACTGCTTTCTTGTTTTGTTTTCTATTAGTTTAAAATTTAGGTTAAAGGCTTAATTCGGGTGAGGTATGGACACTTATGTTGTTGTTTCTAATCAATCTTTCTGTATTTTTAAATGTGTGGCAATCTAGCCTTTTCTTTCAAATGAACGGTAGTAAGTGGCATTGGTGCAAATTTGTGCCTGAAATTGGGGGTGGGGCATGAGGATTTGTGGGGGTGAATGACCCGCCCGGCAATGGAAATTTAAAGGGACAGGGTTGGCACCATATAACATTATATAGGGGGGAGTTTAAGACGTGCATTTATAATATGTAATATACTTATGCAGAAAATTAGAATGGCATATTGATGGCTTTTTAAAATTGTTGTCCTTATTTGAGTGATATAGTGGGGTATAACCCCATCCCCTCGGGATTTACGCCCATGATTAGTGGGCTATTATCATCTAAACTTCTAAAATAGTTCCTATATCGGTCAGCACGTTTTAAGTGATGTAAAAGTGTGCTGTGAGGCAAGCAAAATATTAATCACTAATTATGCTTGAATGTGCTAACTTTATTAGATTCTGATGGGTTATATTGAAAGCGAACTGGTTTAGACAAAATAGCATAGCATTGCTTTGGATAAAAATTACAAGAAAGTCTGCACTTTCACAATTGATGTCACGATTGTCATGGCTATTCCAGGTTCTGTTGATATAAATGGACCGATACACATTTACGTGAATAATAATTGGTCTCTGTGATAGCAGAAATATCAAACGTTAAATAAATATTCCAAAATGCCTCTTATGTAGCATCTCCTAAACTGAGTTGACGATTTCATTCCTTGTAAACTGTAAACAAAAGTTGGTCATTTTTCAAAATGATCACGTAAGCTTAGTCAAACATTTTTGCTAACTTTTGCGTTTTTAAGTAGCCTGATGGTCAAATAGACCAATAGCTTTCGTCAAATTTCAGGGTGTACTGGCTAAACATAATCGACAGTAAAAGAGTGTTATATTACAAGAGTTCCAGTGTCATTTTCTGTTAGTTTTGATAAACCACTATGTTTGGTTATCTGCTATATCAAAACACATTTTCGAAAACCGGCAACCAGTTTGTACTAGGTAGTGCTTTTCAACGATACTTTGTCGATCTAAGATGACTATTAAGTTTGTCAACATAACTTGCCCCAAGAAACGTTGATGCATTCGCATTGACAGCACAATTCGGTTTCGAAAGACTCGAAACTATGCTGGAATCTTTCTCTGACAAAAACCCTGCTGAATTCCAGCGTCTATAATTCGTGTCAGTACTTCCGTACTTTGACCTCCGCAATAAATTCGCAGATTTTCCCGGGACTGTCTTTTTTCGAATCCTAACATGCACGTATAAAAATAAGGTTTGGTGCACGACCCAGATTATGATTTGAGAATAGAATAGTGACCACAGGTATTTCTGATGATGGATATACGTCAGGGAGATGTTAATATTAATTGTTGATATATTGTCCTGCCCAATGTGTATTGTAACACCGTATACTCAGTGTTTCCCCGAGAGCTTGTGAAAACAAAAAACAAGCGTAGTCGGTTGGGACTCGAACCCACGAATTCCTGACCACAGGGAGTTTGTATAATTTTTTTGAAAGGCTGTCCAACTGAGAAATTGGTTTCTTTTTCGGATGCTCTGAAGATTTCGTTTATGTTTTACGAATAGCGCATTTAACCGCATTACGGAGAACACTTATAAAAACTGCACATTTTTAATACCTGGTGTTGAAGTTTAAGCGACAAAAGCCTTCCATGCTGGAGCAGAAAAACAAATAATGGTTCGTGCTAATGGGATTCATCTAGGTGCCTGAAATTAGCAGAAACACGTCATTCTAAAAAGACTAATTGTCATCCTGACAAGACGGACTTTATGGTCAAGAGCACAGGTCAAATTGGCTCACTTCATATCAGTTTGTCAGCGCGACAAGTGGTTGTTTTCTGTGGACTCCTTAGAGCATAAATATCGCTTGACTTAGAAGGGAAGGTATAAAATTCATGTATTAAAATTCGAAACCATCAAGTTCGAGTGTTTTTCTCCAGGCCTGTTAACTCTCATTCCCGAAACCTCCGCTTTCAATATGATTTCACGTACACCCTAGGGGTTAGGTTAAGGACACATATACGTACAAATAATCTATAGTTTGCCAGTCAGAACAGAAATTAATTAAACCAACACAAGAAGAACTTTTTATTTCTGAACATTGGTTTTTTTCGCATGGCTGAATTTCCCTGAAGAGATGGTCATAAAGTTGTTTATGGCATTTTGGGCACATTCACAACGAAAACGTCATTCTTTTGTCCTGGTTAATCGATATTTCAAGTTGTAAATTTGGCTTGATTTCGCACATAATATTTTGGTCTTCTTTGGACAGTTTGTTGTTTTTTTCTTCAAGTAACTGTTGTAGAAATATCAAAATGTATAACAGCAAGGGGAATAAGAGAGGAGTTGACTAGGAAAGCGTCGCTGAGGTCGATAAACAACAACAGATAAAGGCTTGTTTACTGCTGTGACATTAAAGCATTTGTATCTTTGAAATATTAATATTAAAGAGTGCTTAAGAGAAGCTGACAAAATTAAGAAGACATCTTCTGTTCTCTTATCGTCACTCTAACTTGGACTTTGCCCGAATCAGAGATAACGGAATCTAAACGTGATCAGCGCATAATTATACGTTTACTGTGCCTTGAGATTTCTTTCCGTCAGACTGTGTTTTGATTTTCCTCAAGTCTTTAACTTTATGGAAGAGAGAGGAATGGGTAAAGTGATTCCAGACTCACCCAAATAATACTCATGAGGTAACATGGGGAAGTGCGGATGGGGTGCCACTGGAAAATACGGGCTGTGCCTTGTGGACGGGTGGTGGAGCGCGTAAGGCCTCGGTGCGAGGATGTTGTCGATGGTGAACCTCGACGGTGGGCTTGGAGCATTGCCTACTGCGCCCGCGGCGGCCCCGGCGCTGAAGTAAGCGGCTGCTACAGATCCTAAAGCCGACAGGCTGACCGGTGGTTGAGACCCAATGTTCATCTCGTTCCCAAGGAACATGTAACTCCTGCCGTTTGAATTGAAAATGGAAGGAAGCAAGCCTCAAAGCGGTCGAGCACGCGACGTGTCCTTGAGAGCGCTCTGTATTTCAGTCACTTTTGTCTTTCATGGGTTTTGCTCGGTTTTGCAAAAGATAATCTGAAGCAACAGCCCAAGAAAAGTTTGCTTTTATACTGCTGTGTGTAAACCGAAGGAGAGATACAGCTTAGCCAGTCGTTTTCACTTGGTGGGTTTGGTCAGTCAAGTTAGCTGCAATTTGATTGGCTGCCAGCTGGCCAATAGTCGTTCTCCTGAGATCATTATCCATTGGATCGTACCCATTGCAATGGGGGCGCAAGTGACGGCGTATCTCTTTTTCACTACGTGGATAATGAGCCACTCAACAATGCTTAAAGAACCTTCTCCATTTTTTCTTTTTATCTCTGTTGTAGTGAACACGATGACGCAAATGAAAGGGGTTTTTTTTAGCAAACCATCTTCATTTTTTCAGTCTAAATCCCTTGGTGTAAAATTACAGATAATTATAGCGACCAATATCCCGCCTTCTTACGCACACAAACGGTAACGAAATTCCACGCGGTCATTACAGAGCACATGGTTTTCTGTTTCTGTTTACATTCAGAGTGGACCAGAACGATTTTTCAAAGATTCTGCGCTGTGGTGGCGTGTCCTAGTCAATCAACATTTTAGTTGGTATGACGTGGATATCGACTGGAATATCATGAACAACAATTCCAAACGGTTTCCAGCTTGTGCGTGAAAAAGAAAAGGCACAGCATTACCACTTTGTGTTACCGCTATCCGTTACCGCTGGCGATTTTTTTTCCTAGGAAGGTTGGGGTAATTATCATATACGGGCGTGGTTAACTGCAAGCTCAAGGAGGTCAGTGGACACTTATAAACTTAAGCGCTGAGGTCCAACCAACTAACTCCCCACCAAGAAAGAAATTACTACATATAGCCTCGAACCCTCGGCTTGTTAGTTCAAGGATAACGCTCTTCTGACACAGCTACCATGCAAGTTGGCCAGAAGAGAAATTTTGTTGTGTCTTACACTTAAAAGTTCGTACCCCATTTACGATAATTGCCGCCAACCTTCCAATATGAAAAGCACATGCTTAACGGTTAATTAACATATGCCCATGTTATTATAATCACCCCTAAACTTCCTAGGAAAAAATTACGCTAACCGCCCGGGTGTGTAAATGGACCTCAAGACAGAGTGGGGAAGCCAAAAGCGACAGGACATGGCATTCCTTGCGAATGTATTTTCTAACAGTGGCAATACTTAACCCCACGTCAGAGGTTACGACACAGATCTTCTGAAAATAGCCTTCATAATATCCAAGGTATGTGTGAATTTTTAGCAAAACTGAGAAATCTAGCTTTTTAAAAATCATTTTCATTGTTTGTTGAGCCATGTAAAACTTGATATGACAATTCGCCATTCTACGAAGGGAAAACAAGCCCTAAGAAGCCCTACTGGTTAAGGAAATGTATGCAATATTCGCATAGAAATTTTGGATCGAGATACAGCCAAAATGCATTTTTTTTAGCACAACAGCCGTATATTCCATCAAATTAATTTGTCGTTTTCTGGTTAATTTCAGTGATGGAAAAATGCCAGAAGGACACCAGGAGGGAGATTCTCTACCTCTCCCAAACTGCATATATACTGGATGCATCAGTGAACAAAAGTGGGCATTATGAGGATTTTGTGGTTTGGTGTTGCGTTCACTCCATAGAAGTCGCTATCTCTCTTGCTTGCGACTGGCACAAGCAATCACACAAAACAAAGCCCAACACAAATAGGGGACCCTTACAGGATGATCGTCTTATTGGGGACACCCCATTGTTTTCTGAAGGGGGAATTCCAAATCGGATTTGCCGAGCTCTCGTCCCTTTTTGAACCCCTTCCCTCAATGACCACCCACCATCAGAACTTAAAAGGCCCTCTTGTTCTTTATTCTACCAGAGATTTCAAAGGATTATCATTATGTTTCCTAAGTGCTCTCCCCTTAGCAATGATGTAAGGTTTTTTCTTGCTGCTTTAGTGCTTGGCGTTCCCTTTTTGACGTAAGGTTAAGTTAATAGCACAGCAGGTGGACATGTAAAGTAACCACGCGTTTCACTTACCTTGGTGGGTCCCTGCTGTGCTCGCTTGCATTTGCGCATTGTGGCGACGCATGCGTGTCAGAATCGAGACAAGAAAAAACTACCGGGTGAAGGAAAAACTCCTCCTTCAGATATTTACCCTAGCGCTCTATGCAAAGAATGTCGCAGGATGTTGGAATCTTAAATTTGATGATTTCAAAATAAGTATTCCTCAATAATTTGTCACATCTAAAAGTCATTGTTAAGGAAAGCATTTCTAGATATCACGGCAAAAGATCCTTCCACAACCTGGACCAATTAATGGACGAACCAGAGTAAAAATATTGGGGCGAGATAAAGATGTGTAATCTCAATGGGATTTCTCGGATATGATGCTAAAGTCGAGGGGTTTTGTCCACACTCCGAGAGGAAGGGAAATCAAACAGCGATGAGAACCGTCCTTATCTTGATTTCAAAAGTATCTGGATCTGGATAAATACTCTAAAAAGTTCAAAACGAGCATCACTCAGAACGGAACTGGGGGTTGTTCATTCCAGCTGTAGACGGTTTTGCAGTGATGTTTTGAAGCTAGATAACTTCTCCATAGAAGTCATGTGTTTTGGCAACTTCCAATTTCTTGCCATCTTAGGAAAGAATGAATGAAGATGGGATTGTGACAAAGACTGTAGGGTGACAAATTGATTTGTCTTGCAGCACCTAGTGTTCATTCGTGTGCGACATGATGGGGGTTATTGCGAATCAAGGAAATCTCTTATGTCCAAGTCAACATTGTGATGATTTTGTGTAGCATGACTAAGCTGCTGTACCGTCTTCTCTGCTGTAGGAGGGGATGTTTGAGCTTTTTTAGCCTTGCTGTAACAGAGCTGGTCCTAGTGTAATCTTGAATGATTGTACGCACCGCCCTGCACTGGACAGCCTCAATCTTGTCGATGTTTTTCTTTGTATGCGGAGCCCATAAAGAGCTGCAATACTCGAGGTGGGGTCGAACCAGACTCTTGAAAGCCTGGGCTTTTACATGGACTGGAGCATTATTAAGGTTTCTATGAAGGAACCCAATGACACTATTGACTTTCACTGTGATAATATCTATATGCTGAGTCCTTTTCACGTCAGATGAAAGGATAACACCAAGGTATTTATGTTGATTTGTATAAAAAAGGGTTCCGCCCCCCCCGACTCGGCCTATTAAATGGATACGTCTTTTTTTCCCTCTGCACCATCGTCCAGCTATGATTAAAAAGGTGATCGGACCGAACTATACACAATGTTTCATTCTTAGCACGCAAACAAGCGCAAATAGAAAGAAAATATCAGGGATTCGTTCAACGAGAATTTTGTTTGTGATGTTTTCTTGGGGTCAGTCTGGGAACTAGACTCACCCGCACCGTCTTTCTTCCCCTGCTACAGCGCATGCACGGTATATGGTTTCGTACCTCGATTTTCCAAGTTCAAGCTTGAGGGGGCAATTAAAATGCCTAGCAAGTCTTTCAATAATCGTGGAAGTCAACTAAGTTCCCAAAAAAGCCAGTTAGATAGTACCATTCTATCCATAACGCGGTAAATAAAGCAAAAAGTAGCAATTCAAACAAAAGCAAATAAGTTTATTTAAAAAAAAAAGAAATTAAACTGTACATAAAATGTACATATTATCTAGAACAATTGAAAGGATCTCTAACAAGATAACGTAAAAACAGTCAAAGTTGTGTGTCTTTTCCTTTAACAAAAAAAGAGAAATATTTGCCAAGAGACTTTAACTGACAAAAAATAATGTAACTCAAGCACAAAGTTTGCCAATTCCCATTTACGTAACCAATAGTTACACAACTCTTTTTTGGGTTCAAAGGAATACAAGCCAAACTCTTTGAGTGGTGCCAAACTTATTATCAAGCAAAGTAAACTGTAACAAAAATCCAATGACAATTCCAATGTCTGTATACTTCCAAATTCTGGGCTATAATACGTCAAAGTCTGCAGCCTTCTACGAAATTCGACCCGATGACCTTTGGGTTGAACTGTCTTCTTTGATGACGTACTGTGAGATAATTGCCCTGGCTACCGCACAGATGGAAAGAATTCTATACACAGACACTGCTAGTGTTTTCTAAGTGAATTCCTCAATATTTTGACTCAATAAATTTGAATTTTTAGAACATTGTTATCGCTGTCAGGTGTCTAACAGGCGTGCCGGGACAAAATAGTGTCCGTTTATGGAATTCTATCAAAAACTGTGGTCAATACCTATTTGGAATTGAAATTATTCAGATCCACAAATTCAAACGGCTTTCATTGACTACAGGCCGGTTCATACTTCAGGCGAATGTGAAAGCAAGGCGAATTTTACGTCACGAAAGATTTGCAGCAAAATATCGCAGCGCGAAGATTTGATCTGATGCCACAAATACGCGTTTGTGTTCGCTTTCGGTCAAAGTATGAACCGGCCTGAACTCCAAAATGTAACTTCGCTGATTATGCAAAGAGACAACCGAGTAGTTGGACTAACGTCGTGTGACGTCTTGTCAAAGATAAGGGGTATGTCGGTCTCAGTCTTTAGGCTTGCTTCGACATATCGGCTGACAGGCCATAAACTTGTGATAGCCTTATTCACTTGCCTTGGTAGTGACTTGACGACGCCACAAAACTTTCAGACTCAAATCTTGGACATCCGTTGCTCGAGAACACTTACAAGAAACTCTCACACCCCACCTCAGCAGCTAAAACGACTGCTTCCTATGTCCCTGAAAAGGCGCATTCACATCATGGGTCCTAAAATTATGCTGCGACTTCCAACAGGATGCAACAAAAAGATCAATATGAAATGAGACAGTGAATCACCATAAAAACTGTTGAGGAGGAGCGTCTTCCTGTAGGTTTTCAGGTCATATATCCACAGTATTAGGCGGAATGTCAAATTAGGTATTTCAAATGTCAATAATAGGAAACTGAATGTCCACACAACATTATAAAACCAGAGTAAAAGTCTACCTAGCCACATCATTATCAAAATAGATAATTCAAAATAATGTCAATAGGGAAATCAAATATCCACATGAAGAAATGTGTTATGTAACCAAGTGACCACCGATGCATAA